CAATTGCTTATTTGCTTCCAAAGAAAAAGATTATCAGGCATGCAAAGTCTGTTCGCATAGTTTAGCAGAGATCTTTTACTCGTGGGTGCTTTTCCATTTCTTACACGAGGGAAAGCAGCAGTTATTTGTGTTTTGAGTTGCGTTTTCCCACCAGCAGAGAATAACCGCTGCTTCTCTGTTACGGTGAGGAGGTGGTTTCTGGTGGGCCGAGTTTGTTCAATGTCAGAACCAGCTGTACCGATGGACAATGTTTTGAAAACTTGCAGCCTTGCGTATTCGAGTCGTACGGGGAGACAAGGAGGAGAAGGTCTGTAAGGTTGCAGCAGACGCGCCATTTATAACTGAACTGACAGATTCAAATCTTAGCCTCATTGTCCGGGGAGAGTTCAAGTAGAGTTGCAGTCTGTCATTTTTTGGCTGATTCCGCTGTGCTTATGAACATTGTTACGTTGTTGAGAAGTGTAAATATTACAAGTTCGTTGTGCGTTTATACCAGTGTTTACGTGAATTCATTGATGGATCAGCTGCCAAGTACTCTTTTCCTTCTCTCATCAGACGTATCAATTTTTATGTATATGTATGTGTCCAAGTATTTCAACTCTGCAACCCGGCAGGCTTTGATGCTGAAATTCTGTTACTGGCTTTCCTGGCCAAGCGCTATCCCAGGAATTTGGTAGCAACTTTCACGCACCTCCGAACTCCACTTACGGGCACATGGGAGAAGATTTGGCGGGGGAAGTGCTAACTCGGGAGTCAGAAAAGCTGGGATTCCTGGAGGTTGTTCCCTCTCCACATACAATTTAAAGATCTCGAATTCATTTCCTAGGAGTGCCTGGTTCTCCTGTACAGACATGTGCGATTTTTGGTGGGAAAACTGCCAACTCATGAAATAGAACAGACAAGTTGTTTCCAATGAACGACCAATCACCAGAAATTATTCATTTTTCTTCATACGAAATTCGCGGTAGTAAGTGCACTACAGTAAAGCAGCAACCATTCATGAAGTCAATGACTTGGGTGCTTCAAGTTTAATAATTGGCCTGCGCACTGACTGCTTGTGTGGAAGTGCGTTTTTTGCACTGTTCCTCGCGGATTTTTGTCGCTAATGGCACCATTTTTCCAG